TCATTCACCCAAGACCACTTGTCGGCTTTATCCTTCATCACCCTGAGCTGGTCCTTATCTGATGCCAACTCCTCTTTAGTAGTCTCCTTTTTCGAGGCCAGAAGATCCATCTCGCTCCTCAACGCCTCGGCCGAAGCTTTAAGCTCGTTCTTCTCGGCCCGAAGCTGGTCGATCAGGTCTATCTTCTCTTCGACCTGCGAGGTTGCGGCGTTAGCAATTGCGCGTAACCTCTTGTTATTAATCTCAAATATCCTTACCTTCTTGACCAGTACGGCATGCTCCGTTTCATCGACGAGGCCTCCTTTTGAGTTTTTTCTAGCTCGGCTTGGAGAATGAGGAGGTCCTTGAGAGCCTCATCTCTTTACTTGCTGAGAGATTTGTACATGTCCTTCTGCCAGACCTGTTCTTTGAGCTCGAACTCGAGCTGGCTCACCTACATCCGAGATCGATGGAAGCTCTCATGATGAAGCACCAAGGCCTGTGAAACAAAATTGATGAGATCTTAAGCATATGCTAAGGTTAAAGGAACGCTTCAAAGGATACACAGAAAGAAAAGCATACCCGGTTCAACGCCTGTTGTGCCTCGTTGAAGAGGCTCGGTGCACCCACCTCGTTCATCTTCGCCTGATCATCTTCGGTCACCAAGCAGCAAAGATAGTTGGCAACGCCGACCGATCAGGACATCACTCGGGTATCCGTCAATATCGTAGATATGACCGTTCTTTTGTGGTCCGGATCCATGCTCGAGGCGGGGAACTGCTTCACTAGCTTTGGGCTCGAGATCGACGCCTGACTCCGGCATCACATCTTTTTTCGGAATCTCCAGGTGACCTAACCCAGAGTAGTCCTCTAATGCACCGATGTCCATTCCCTAAAAGAACAGGTTGAGGGTCTCGTCTACGGCCCGTGATGTCTCGTTTGGTTTCTTTTTGATGTCCTGAGCCTCGTCAAATAGAGACACCGTGTGAGACGGTGACTCCGGGATGTCAATGACACTGGCGGCTTCTCTCGAAGCAGGAGTAGTTTCTCGAGAGGCTGTAGCCGTTGGCTTTGCTTTGGGCTCTCGAGCCAAAGAGGGTTCGACCTCCCGGTCACTTCCCCCCATTGCTACCCGCTCTTCTTCATTAACGGCCGGCCCATAGGCGATGAACTCCAAGTCGTCATCTTCAGGGTAGTCCCTGAGTCGGTAAAGGGATTCGGGGTCCGGTACCTTTGCACATATACTCTTCTTGTTGCTCTTTCGGACCCTGACCGCGACCCTCTCTTCTTGGCCTCGGCGTCTGCGTCCGGGGAACCGAAAGACCTCCTCTTTCTTCTCTTTTTCTCCTCCTTCTTCACAGCGGCCTCAGGCTGTCCCGAGGCGGGGGGTTTAGCAGGTGAGGACGGAGCCTCGTCCTCGTCCACTGCCCGGAGCTTAGTGGTCTTGGGAAAAACCTTTGGAAGGGAGAGAGAGACTTAGTAAGGATGACAATTGAATAACAAAGAAAACTTGATCAGGGGGAGAACACTCACGATGTGAACGGGACTTCCACTTGCCCTTTAAGTGTTTGCGCCATTTGCGCTCGAAGTACGATAATGATTTGCAGATCCCCTCGGCCCACTCTTTGAAGCGGGGAACTGCATTGGGGACTCGGTCAATCGCTGCACGATGGTAGAACCGGATGATGAGAATGAAGAAAAAAAATCCAAAAAGTATTCTAAATATCTCAAAAACGAGAGGAACTTACGAGCTAGGTTCACTTTTCTGGGAACGACAAGAACTCACGGAGTATGAGATCCTCGGTCTTCACCTGAACGAATCTCCTCTGCCAACCTCGATAAGGATATGAAGGGGTGGTTTGTTGGGGCATAGATGTCGAAGCTTTTACCATCAAATTCTGGGAATATGAATGTATGAAGGCGGGTATGAAGGTTTGGAGATAAGGATAAAGATTTGAAGGTCAAACTTGAAGATTCAAGGATGGAGTATGAAGATTTGAAGATGGGAAGATGAAATTATATGAGGATATGAAGAACAATGTATGAAGATTTAAAGGGTTTAAGAGCAAGTAAAAAGTTCGGGGTAAATTAAGAAGTTCTAGAATCGGAAAGTAAAAAAGTAAAAAAAGAATTGAAGCTTTTACAGGGAAGAGGTAATTAATGCGTGACGTTTCGCAATGGTCAACCAGCGGCTGACACGTGTCCGAAGTCAGAACGACATGACTGATGTGATGTTTCGCTGACCCATCGATACGATTGCAACGTATGGAGAGAGGAGCCGGGGTCAGTTAATCACTTCTCGTCACTACGATAAATATGCTCTCTAAAAAGTGAGGGGGTTATCTGTATACGGGTAAAATCGGGGATAACATTACCCCCGATTTTCCGGTAAAGAAACGAGAGAGAGGCATGATCTGGCGCAAACTCGAGTAAAGATGAACGGTTCCTCGTTTCTGAGACTGATGAGGACGGACTGTGCATCCGGGATCGGACACGACTGAACATCGGGTGCAGGCAGAGTCGAGGCTCGAGACTAAGGAAAAAGAGGAACGGTTAGGCACGATAAGCGGGGAGCCATGATATCCGCCCTCAACCGGGTATTACGGTGCAAATTCCTCCTGATATCAACTGCAGATCATTATTTACCGAAAAATATAATTTTTACCTTATTTAGACTTATAGCCTATTTGGCCAAGCTGGAGAAATCAGCTTATTTTGAGAAGTGCTTTTTCTAAAAGTGCTTTTGAAAAAAGTACTTTTGGAGAAAAGCAATTTGTGTTTGGCTAATTACTCTGAAAAGTACTTTTGAGCAATAATTTGTGTTTGGCCAAGCTTTTCAGAAAGTGCTTTTAAGTATCAAATTACGAATAAGGACATGAATAGATATACTTTATAGTTAATATTATAAGTAAATAATAATCTCAAAATTTGTTATTACATGCAATAATTAAATCTTTTTATTTTATTTAAGTAAAATATGAAAATAAAATTAAAAAGTACTTAGTTCTTTTAATATAAGTTAAATATATTAAAAATCATTCAACAAATATAAAAGCATTCACCGCTAAAGTCACTATATATTAGAAAGCTATCATAAAAATAAGAAGAAATATTTACACATTAATATCCTAAGTATTAGGTTTAACGGTTATTTTGGTATATGCTATATTTTGTTAAAGGCATTTTTGGTAAGAAGAAAAGTCAAAACTGCTTCTGCTTCTGCTTTTGGAAAAAGCTACTTTTTCTGCTTCTCAGAACTGCTTCTGCTTATTCCCAAAGCACTTTTTTTCATTAAAAAAGCTTGGCCAAATACCTCAAGTTAGGGAAAAAAATGCTNAGGTAAGAAGAAAAGTCAAAACTGTCTGCTTATGCTTTTGGGAAGAAGCTACTTTTTTCTGCTTCACAGAAACTGCTTCTGCTTCTTCCCAAAAGCACTTTTTCCCCCCAAAAAAGCTTGGCCAAATACCTCAAGTTACGAAAAAATTTTGGGAAAAAAGCACTTTTGGCCTCTTGAGAAGCTTGGCCAAACAGGCTATAAATGNTTAGAAAGCTATCATATAAAAGAGAAGAAATATTTACACATTAATATCCTAAGTATTTAGGTTTAACGGTTATTTTGGTATATGCTATATTTTGTTAAAGGCATTTTTGGTAAGAAGAAAAGTCAAAACTGCTTCTGCTTCTGCTTTTGGGAAAAAGCTACTTTTTTCTGCTTCTCAGAAACTGCTTCTGCTTATTCCCAAAAGCACTTTTTTTCATAAAAAAAGCTTGGCCAAATACCTCAAGTTAGGGAAAAAAAGCACTTTTGGCCTCTTGAGAAGCTTGGCCAAACAGGCTATTATACTAGGATTGAAACTCCCCTACTATATAATGGGGAGAACTTTTTCGTTGTAAACCATCGTTGCACGCATATCAAAGCAATAAAGTTTATTTTTTTTCTTCTAGCTGTTGTTCAAAGTGTTCTTTAGTTCCCATTTTCTTAGTTACAACCGAGCCCGTATCGAGGACTCGATCGGAGCCATTTCAGTGTTCAATTCAAAGCCAGGCTTAATTGTTCCACCGCGTTGGTTTGATCGTTTTATCTATCTTTAATTAAATTATTTGTTGTTCTTAGATCATTCCTGTAAAATTAAATCACGTGTCATTTAAACCGCGTGCAAATTTAATTGTTACTCATTGTAGACATCGAAATCTTAATGAATCAAGTTAAATCCTAAATTCAAGATACTACAAGATCTCTTGAAATTCTAGGAGTCTGTCAGTGTTGCTTAGAGGCTACTCTACCAAAAGCCTAGGTCACTCTTATAAAAAGGGTTACATAATCCTTTAAAAAAATATCTCAAAAATGGAGATCATCTCGAAAATCCCATAAACTCACGGGATATTCACAAAGGGATCAAGAAGTGGCCGGATAATTCTTGATAATCAAATACTTTAAGAAGATCCACAACATACTTCATGGATATCAAATAAATCCATGAAAGCCCGCACAATCCTACGTTCGAGAAACACGCTGTTCTAGCCCTCGAATCACGGAGATAACCAGGACAGAAGAATCAAGGGGATAAACAGAATTCTACCCGTGTCTTTTTATGAATAAAATTATGTTTCTTCATATTTATATTGTGGTTGCAATTTATTTTTGTATCACATATAATTTGTTGCAAACACTCATTTTTAAGGGTAAACAAACATATAAATTTTTAACTTTTACAAAAGTTGATAGGATTATTTACACGAAAGTAGTATGACTGGCTCATTCTTTCTCTTGTACCTGTTGTTTCGACGCAGCACATTAACTATACAAGTTCGGGACACCATTAAGTAAGAATTCCTTACTGCTTTCTTGGTTATAAGTTTTATGTTACACTTCATATTTATAAGTTTAATTCAACACTCTATCTCACAGAGATACTTTTCTTTTTTCCTTGGTAAATCTTTTGAAGTAATTTTCATCTTTGAATTTTAACTATTTAGATTAAATTGAAATTATAACTTTTGCAGAGCCGTCAAGTGCCCCATTAAACAGAAGTTTTTTAAAAAAATAAAATGGAGTGGGGTGGCAGGGGGAAGGAATCAGAAAATATATTTTGCAAAATTATATCAGTGTAAACCCAAAATATTTAGCAAATAAAAACCCTAGCTCTTTTCACCATTGGCTTCGAGCAGCCGAGCATGGACAGTAGAAGTGTCATCCCTTGGTCCGATCTTCCGAAAGAACTTGTGGAGAGGATCGGCAAATTCCTCGACACACATATTGACGTCCTTCGCCTTCGTGCAGTCTGTTCAACATGGCGTTCCTCACTTCCTCCTTTCAAAAACTCTCCTTCTTTACCTCTCAAACTGCAAGTACCCATCATCCCCTACGACACTGACCCTTATTCATGCAGCCCTGGTGTTACAAAAATTTTGCTGTCTACCAACTACGTATGGAATGGGACCAATCATTTTTCTCTAATGGCAATTCATATTGGGGGTCATTTATGTTACTTAAAGTCCGGGGATGAGAAGTGGACTATCATAAAAAATGCCAGTTGCAATATTGTCGATATCATTGTCTATAAGGGGAATTTTTATGCTGTTGATCAATATGGAGAGACCATAAAGTTTGATTCCTCGCTTAATGAGACCAAGGTAGCATCCAGGTTATATGATGGAGGTAGGAAGACGACTAGTGGAATCAAGTGGCCAATTGTTTCTGGTTGCTATGTTTTTAGATGTTGATAAGGAGGTCCGTGGTCCGGGCCCTTCTTGGAATAATGTCCTTGAAATTAAAATGTACCGGCTAGATGAAGAACAACATGAATGGATTGAAGTGTATAAGTTGGGTGATCGGATTTTCTTCGCAGGAGATGACTGTTGCTTCTCTCTTTCTTCAAAAGATTTTGGTAAGTGCAAAGGAAACTGCATTTACTATGTGAACGGAAATATATCTGTTGACATCTTTGGGGAGTTTACGCACTTATATGATGAGGACAGTGAAGATGACGTTCCATGTGCTTGTTGTGGCCATTTTAATGCTGATCCAATCTATGGTGGTGGTGTGATTAGCAGCACTATTACGCGATGATGGCAAGAATGAGCGTGGTAGCAATGGTAACAAGAATGTGCGCGATAGCAAATCAGGTGTTCTTAGTGAGGAACTGGTAGCTAGATATAAAGGAGTACATGGTCATAAGACGGGTGTATTTACCATAGAAGATGGTAAATTTGGTTCACTGTTATCCTTCCTTGAATATGCAGATATTTTCTGGCCACCACCATCTTGGATTAATGGTGAGGATCAGGCTCCTTCAAATGCTCAAGTGAGTTTTTAAGTCTAAGTCTCCTTTATTCTTCAGAATCTATACACAGGCGTCTTTTTAAGAAGTGTTTGGCCTAATTATAAGTCATAAATATGTTTTAAATTTCAATTTTGGGTTGTTATTGCAACAGGGCAAGACTAATAAAATTAATTGGTATGTTCCTTTTACAGGAAGTTGCTGAATCGTGATTGTTCATAAACAAGGAGGATGCAACAATAAATCAAGTCACGAAGAGAGGCAGACTCCATTAGCTCTTCCTTGTGTCTCTGTCATCGTTTCACCTTTGCTTATGCCTTTTCTTTTGTTTTTATTGTGTGTTAACAACACTGGTTAATGACACGACGATTTTAGGAACTTTATTTCTCAAACTCGGCTCAGTTATTCTTTTGCAGTAATCTATGCCCTATTTTTAAATTTTCTTTGCTTAATTAAGTTGATTTATCATTTGGAAAATTTTATTACTTGCTTTGTTAAATTGGTGTGCTAAAGAAGGTGATGCGATCATAGCATTGCATCTACTTTTATGAAAGACAAATGATATTGCCTTGGAAATAAGGGATTTTTACATATCTATATTGCATATGAAACTTATTTACCCTCCCTAATCAAGTTTTAACTTAATTACATGATCATATACAATTTATTGGAAACGAAGGATGGCTTTATTTCCATAAGACCTCAAAGGGAATTGCGAGTACAAACAACTCATACTCCAAGTTTCCTTGGGTTGCACCAAAACGCCAAAATTTCACGGTATAGCTAGTTTTCGGACTGGTCAATCAAAAATAGTCAGCGTTTACCAAGTCAATGAAAAATAGCCACCGTTTTGCTGTAATAGAGACCGGTCCAGCATAATATACTGGAGTTCGGTGCACTTGTGTATGAACTCTAGCATATTATGCTGGACCGGTATACTTTGCTGGCTCCAGTATAATATACTGGAGACTGGAGCACTGGTGCTCCAAACTCCAGTATATTATACTGGACCATTATACTTGCTGGAACTCCAGTATATTATGCTGGAGTTCTAGTGTATTTATGCTGGAACTCCGTCATATTATGCTGGAGTTCCAGCATACTATCCTGGAACTCCAGTATAATATGCTGGAGTTCAAGTATACTTATACTGGAACTCCAGCATAATATACTAGAGTATTTTCCGGGTTTTGAAAAGTGTTTTCGCTCAGATTTATCTTTACATAAAAAGTGGCTAAATTTTGATTACTTTTGAAATTGGGCTATTTTTGAACGACCAGTTGTAAATCTGGCTATTTTTAAAAATCACCCCACCAAAACTTAGGCTTATGGAATACGTCTAACTATGGTGAAAGTGTGATTATTGGTCTGTTGGACACTGGAATTTATCCAGAACATCCTTCCTTCGATGATGAAGGAATGCCTCCACCACCTGCCAAATGGAAGGGAAAGTGCGAGTTTAATTTCACAGCATGTAACAAGAAGATCATTGGCGGCGGGACGCCATTGGATGAACAGGGGCATGGTACACATACTTCAAGCACTGCAGCTGGAAATTTCGTTGATGGGGCCAATGTGTTTGGCAGTGCTAATGGCACGGTGGTTGGCATTGCACCCCGCGCTCACTTGGCTATGTACAAAGTTTGCAATCCAAGTGGCCAGTGTTCCGAAGGTGACATGTTGGCTGCCATGGATGCCGCGATTGATGATGGTGTGAATGTCATATCCATTTCCATTGGTGGAATTTTTGGTCCTTTTTGGGATGACAATATTGCACTTGGTGCATTTAGTTCTATGGCAAAGGGAATTCTTTTAAGTTGCTCAGCTGGAAATGAAGGTCCATATAATGGTACCTTATCTAATGAGGCCCCTTGGATTCTTACTGTTGGTGCTAGCACGATCGATAGACAAATGAAGGCAACCGTAGCACTTGGAAACGGCGTAGAATTTGATGGTGAATCAACTTACCAACCAAATGATTTCCCTCCAACATTGGTGCCAATAGTTTACCCAACACTGAACATCAGTTATTTTGGTGCTTTCGCTTGTAGCCCAGAGTCACTTACAAATGTTGAAGGAAACTTAGTGTTGTGTGGAACGGGTAGCGCGACAGCAATTGCAAAAGGGAAGCCAGTGAAAGATGCTGGTGCTGCTGGCATGATTCTAATGAATGAAGATATTGAAGGTTACACTATACCTGCACACGATTATGTTCTTCCTGCAACGCGCATTAGCTATGCAGATGCACAAAATCTCATAGCCTATATAAACTCGACGTCAACATGATTTTTGGGACATCAATGGCTTGTTCTCACCTTGCTGGAATTGCAGTTTTGCTTAAAAGTGCTCATCCAGATTGGTCTCTTGCTGCTATTAAGTCCGCGATTATGACCAGTGCTGATTTGGTTAATCTTGGAAACAAGCCGATTGAGGATGAATTGCGTTTACCAGCTAACGCCTTTGAAATTGGAGCAGGACATGTGAATCCGTCAAGAGCAAATGATCCTGGTCTAATCTATGACATCCAACCTCAGGATTATGTGCCTTATCTATATGGTTTAAACTACACAGATCAACAAGTTAGCGCGATCTCAAACTCGGCTCAGTTATTCTTTTGCAGTAATCTATGCCTTATTTATAAATTTTCTTTGCTTCATTAAGTTAATTTATCATTTGGATTTTTTTTTTACTTGCTTTGTTAAATTGGTGTGCTAAAGAAGGTGATGCTATCATAGGATTGCATCTACTTCTATGAAAGGCAAAAATAAGGGATTTTTACCTATTTATACCACACATGAAGCTTATTTACCATCTCTAATCAAGTTTTAACTTAATTACATGGTCGTATACAATTTACCAACTATATACAAATTAGTTTTGAATAATGAGTATCCTTTGATTGTAACCTTTTAATTTAGTAAATCCCTTTAAACCCTCACATTTCCTTTCTTACCCAGACAAACCTCAATCACAATTTCTTTCTAAAGGATTTTTCTTTTTCTCTCTTTTAAATCAACCCTCTTCTATACAGATTCAACAAGGTTTTTTCTTCTAAAGCTCATAATTATCTCTAACAATGACGAAGAAAGAGATTAATTTCTTATCGATTTGAATTTTGCCATGGCTGGAGTTTGGAGCTTTTTTGGGCTTCCACTTTTCTTGTTGGCGTTCTGATGGAGGGCTAGCAGCAGATGAATGTTAATTGTCTGGCTCTCCACCATTGACGGTCATTAAAAAGCTTCGAAACTTTTGAATTCGAATTCGGTGTTTTCAAAAAGTATTTTTTGTTTGTATTGGGTATTGTTGCAAACGATTGAAAATATTCTATGGAGTTTATATCTCGATTTTGAGGATATTTGGTGAAAATTAGATTTAAATTGGGCTGGATTGTCATATTAAAAGAAGAAGAAGGAAGAAGAAGATTTGAATGTTGTATGAAAGTTGAATAGTTGTATAATGTATGGATCGTTGTATGAAATTTGTATTTAAGTTATAAATACTATCTTTTTACGTAAAGTTGTTGATATATATCAAAGTTGTATTAAGAGAAGGAGTTTTGATTAAAATTTTCAGAGAGGAAGAAGAACACACCACATATAAAATATATACAAATCATATATAAAATACATACAAAAGACATATTGTATAAATTTTATATGAAAATTGTATTTAAATTATATGATATTGTAGTTATATTTAACTGGCATTGCATACTACCAAACAGAATAAATACTCACATGCTCACAAGTACTACCTAATTCTGTTTTCTCTTGTAATTCACCATTGCTAACAGTCCGATTTTGCTTTCCTTACGAACCTAAAAAGATAAATTTTCTTAGTTGTACGCGTATGGATTATGTCTTTTTAAGCTTATGTTGCATATTCATGTTTCAAACAAGCCCAATTCTCAGCAATCATTTATTCAAATTCGAACGACCAAATAAAATCCAACATAGTCCACGTAATGGGAAAGTATAGGTGGAATATAGGGGCTTTTACAAAATCTTTCTAACGAACGATGGTGTATACGGCTAAAATTAGGGAGTCCGATTTTATGGTCGTTATGGCACTTCGTAAGACCGCCCCCAGAAGGCTGGCTCAGTTCGAGGTTCGACCCCGAGGGTCCTCAATGTTCGACCTCGGGGCAATGCATATCGATGACTATGATGAACAAACGGGAAGTTCCCAAGGCACGTGGTTAAAGCTGACCAAGTCTATTAGGCTAGTACAAACCCGTACCGTAGCATTAAATGGCTGTACCAGCCTCATATCCTTGTAATAAATGCATACGTACTCTATTGGGGTTTCCCCTCCTATATAAAGGGGATCGTTATCATTTTGTAAGGGGGGATGATACAGCATTGAATACAAGAATAGAACATTCCCTGCTCTCTAACTTAAACATATTCTCCTTTGATTCTATTGCTTACATTTATCACATTACTTGTATTTATTGTGCTCTCATTGATTGTTCTTCATTTATTACTCATCATTAATCATAAAGAGCCCCCATCAAAGCTCTTAGAACTGTTAGTCCTTCATCGGCTATCCGCAGCCTAACGCTTTAGCTCGACCTCGAGGCCCAGTACAGGCTAGCTCGAGGCCCCGATTCTCAGCCACTCGGTTTGCTTGACATTCTGCCTTCAAGCTCTTACCTTATTTTCTAGTTTCACACTTAGCATCTACTGCCTAACAACTAGCATAAAAATAAATCACGTATTTTTAGAACCACAAAATCAAATCTAATTGTAATTACCATTTTCAAGGTAAACAGGTGATTGCATGTGCAAAACCCTTCAACTGCTGTCACTTGAGAAACTTAAGTTATATATAAAAAATATTCGCAGCCTAATGGCAAATAAAGATACACAACGGGAAGTAGTGTTATTGAAAGAGGAGACGAGAGAAAATAAGAAAATGATGTAACTACATCCCCTAATTTAAGGCACTAATAATTGATTGCATATAATTTATAAATATTTGTTTAGGGCGGGTAATATAC